TATATATATTTGTGTGAGTATTGTTGCATTGTAGATGTTATTGGTAGGTTAAGCCATTTCCGTGCTCTTTGGAAGACTTTGGCTCATCTGTGCCTTAAGATGATAGTGGGAAACCAGAGCTCATTTTACTACATATGAACTCTGGTCTACAGCATAGCCACAATGTTCCCAATATAATGAGATGTTCAGCTTTTAGTGTTAAAAAGAAGTTGAAAGTTTTGGGGTCACTTGACCATATACCTCTTTTATTTATAAGGATAGCCATGGTAGTGGGTGTTCTTAAATTCCAGATTCAAAGGAGAATTTCATTTTGATCTATATCATAGAACTGACTTATCACACATTTCAAAATCAAAAGTTTTAGGGAGAGAAAAACTGAAAAAGGTTTGAAATTTTGTTATGATTTTACATTTTTTTCTTCTTTTCAAATTAGTATGTTTATTGTTTAGTTCTTATATTATTTATTTTAATAATGATGTGGGTTTTTGTCATTCACTGTTGGTCTATTCTAGCATAGTCAACATTCAATTTTATTTAAACTTGTGCATATTTTTACTGATATTTGGATATTCAATATTAAGTCATGCTGGTTATGCATATATGTTCTTTTCAGTATATTTTGTCACATCCTTTCCACTTTTGTTTTAGGAACTACAATCCTGTGGAGCGTAGGGGTAAGGGTGCAAAGGACAGAAATGTTAAGACTCTAAAGAGTGCAAAATCCCTTCAAACAAATACTATGAATCATCCCAGTTCAGGCGACTCATTCAGTATGAACCGAGCCTTTGGTTTTCTTATTGGTGGTGTCTTTGATCGTAAATGGTTTTGCATTTTTTTCATGATGATTTTTCCATGTTACTCTTCTTTTCTCCCTAATCCTTTTCTGTTTCCGGTTTTGGGTTTATGAATTTTTGAGTGAAGGGTCCAAGCAATCAAGGTCAAGTGGAGGAGCTGATGGGGCTTCAGCAGAGATTCAGGCTTTGTCCAAGCAGGTATGAGTAAGAAGATTTGGTTCGCAGTGTTTGCTCTGCCTGTGATCTGCGATGGTTATAGACATGTCTTACAAGATAAACCTCTAAGCAGTGAGGCATATCTTGATACATATTAAGTTGCCAAGGAAAGTCTTTATCTTGTTGTAAAATTCTGTAAGAAGGAAATTGCTACATGCACTTAGTATGTAGACACTGTTGATTTTACCGATTCTTACTCCTGATGGCATATAATACAGCCATTACAATCTTAGTTCTTATATTGGTATTGATGTTGGAAGCTTGTCTTGTAATAATTTAGTAAAAAAATTATCTTTATAGTTTTTTCATTGTTAATTTTTCTGTTTTCTATTTCTCAGGTTTCTGATCTCAAACTCTCAGTGGATCACTTGGAAAAAGAAAGAGACTTTTACTTTGCTAAACTAAGGGATATAGAAATTCTTTGTCAGGCTACAGAACTGGAGAACGATCCTGTAAGAATTCTAAAGAAGGCTTGCATTGCAGTTTAGTTATTTTTATTCACAATGGATTTAAGACATCTATTACTTTTCAGTGTGCTTGTGGTCATCTCTAACTATATTTTGCTTCAGTATATAATATCAAGTTCTATTCTCATGATCCATTCAATGATTTTCTTCTATCTAAATTTCCTAATAACTTTGTTGACTGGAATTGGGGGAAATAAGCGATGCAGAAGTGGCTAGTTAATATAGTCTGGTTTTGGCAAATGACAAGTATTTGTTTGTGATAGCAGAACCCTAAGTAAAAGGGTTATGTTAGGAGAAGGGGGAACAGAAGTGTTGGTTAGTACAGTTAGAGGGTTGTTATAGTTATAGGCTGTATTAGACCTAGCTGGTAGAGAATTATTTTTTTTTTGGTGTGGAGTTAGTCTGAATTGTTTGGAGGGACCAGAACCCCTCAAATTGTTCTGTTCCGAAGAAAATTATTTCTTCAATTAACCCAATTCTTTTTGAACCAGTTGTATCAACTGGTATTAAAGCTATGATCTTGGAGCCATGGACATGCTGAGACCTCAATTATGTAGCAAAGATGGTGACAAAGAGGCTGGAGACTCCAAAGTTTTTTGGAGGAATCTGTGAGGTTTACACAGACCCTAGATGGTAAAAGAATCCCTGGAAACTGCTTAAGCTGCAAGAGGAGGAGATCTTGTTGTAATTAGCTGGGCAGCGTGCAGTACAGAGGAATTCAATCACTCAGGAAGTAGGAGATCAATGTGATTTGGGGAGAATCCAGGTAGTAATAGAAGGGGAATTACAACCTATTCCAAGAGTGATAGTAAACGAGGAATTTAGCATGGAGTTCGGTTGGTCAAACCTAATGATAAGGCTGCAGAAAGAATAAAGAGCGTTAATAATAAAGGGAGAAAATTCAGGCAATTGCTTAATGCGGAGTACATGGAGAGGAGAAAGGGTTTTGCTTTACTTGTGACAAGTTTGTTTCTGAGCATGTTTGCGAGGATAAGCATCTTGGGGGTAATGATGACGTATGAACTGGCAAACATGGGGGCCAAAAACTATGTAGATGATATTTTGCAATGAGAAGAAAAAACAGTGCAGCTGGATCTTAAAAGATTATGGTTGGGCTCACATCCTAATAAATTCTTAAACTATGTGGTATGATTGGCAATAAGGAAGTGCCAGCCTTGGTAGATTGTGGAGGACACACAATTTCTCCCCTCAACAATTGGTGGCAGAACTTGAGCTACAAATCAAGGGAACCCTCCATATTGGGTGAAGGTTGGAGATGGGTATACCATGAAAATTAAAGGGATGTGTTGGGGGCTGAAAATACAGTTGCAGGGCTGAAAATTCTGCTACCTTTTTGCTTTGGATGGTGTTAATATAGTTTTGGGGTTGGAGTAGTTGGAAGAAATACATCATTAAAGGGGATCCATCTCTTTGTAACGTAGCAATATCACTTCCCACACTTGTCAGAGCAGCTCCAAGTCTCCAATTGGTATTACACGAATTTGATGAGTTATTTCAAGAGTCACAAGGTCTACCATGTACTAGGAGACTATTGTCATGCTATTACCTTGAAGGAGGGAACATCGATTCCTAATTTTTGCCCTTACTGGTACCCTCATCAGAAAACTGAAATGAGAAGTTAATGTATCATCAAAAAATTAGAATGAATCAAAAAACAGCTTTTCATACCCATGATGGCCATTATAAGTTCCTAGTTATGTTCTTTAGACTCACTAATGCACCTTCCACAGTTCCGCTTTTCAGTCACCTGTGAATGAAATACTAAAACTGTTTTTAAGATGTTTGTTTTGGTGTTTTTGATGATGTTTTGATTTATATTATAGCCCATATGAAAGAAGCCTTATACAGCATCTTTGGAGCCATTTTGATCAGCTGCCATGAAGACATGATTTGGTGGATAATAACAATTGTACTTGGGGCCATGGTGTTTCATCTAATGCAGTGGTGGTTGACCCTATGAAAATAGAGGCAGTGCAGCAGTGGCCAGTACCTAAAGATGCCAAGGTTTTTCATAGATTTCTAGGCCTCATAGGCTACTGTATGTGATTTTGTCAAAGACTATGGAAAAATACCTCTGACTGAATTATTGAAGGAGGATAAGTTCCATTACTCCATGGTATCCCAACAAGCTTTTGAAACCTTGATAAAAGCGATGGAAGCTCTACTAGCACTGGCTGCCCCAGATTTTTCTAAGACATTCATGGTGGAGACTGATGCCTCTAACAAAGGCTTAGGTGCTGTTTGTTAACAGGATGGGAGATCATCACATATCTGCTATCATAATAAGCTTAATAAAGTCAGTATATGGAAGGGAGTTGATTGCCATTATAGTGGTCCAAAAATGAAGACACTATGTCATGGTTATGTTCTTCATCATACTTATAGACCTAAGAAGCTTGAAAATTATTAACAGAACAGAGGGTGGTGAGTGAGGATCAATTCAAGTGGCCACCAAAGCTACTGGGATTTGATATTCAAATTCAATATAAACCCGGGAATTACAAGGTAGCCAATGCATTGTCAAGCCATTTTATGCAGCCATCTATACTGTTCTATGTGATGAATGGGAAGGTTTTGAAGCAGAGATACAGGGGGATTTGCAAGCTGTGGAAATTGTTTCAAGTTCTGATTCCGAGCTGTTGAAAAGATACTTCTCTATGAGAATTAATTAGTATTTACCCACATGTTCTTCCTGAATCCTCTTGTTTTTTAGCAGTTTCAGAATTCTGTGATGGGTGGGGGTGCATTCTGGATAGATTTTGTAGGGATATATAATAAAGGTAATTAGAATAGTTATTAGTTAGAAAGATATCATGGGCTAGGCCCATCACATCTATAAATAGGAGGTTACTTGGTGGTGGGGAGATTCAGATTTGTTCACATTTGTAAATTGAGCATTGGCTCTTTGCGAAAGGAGAAATCATTTGTGAAGGGGAAGCTCTTGGATATTTCTCTCCTATTTTGTTTTCTTTTCAACATACTCAATAAAATCTTTCTTTTCTTTCTCTTTCCTAATTCTTGGTTTCTTACAGATTTGGACCAACAAGAGGATAGCTGCCTTAGTTTTTGGGAATTGGGAGGGTATGAAGAAGGATATTAAATCCTTTATTGAGAACTGTGATGTTGCCCAATGTAACAAGTTTAGAGTGATATTAACAAAAGCATAAGGGAAAGGGAAGGATAAAATTTTGCTAATCTCACTAAATAGACTCATTTTAAGGACAACATTTTGGTTGGTGTAGATTGTCTCACTAAATACTCATTTTATTCTTCTAAGTCATCCTTTTGCAGCCAAGGATGTGGCGCTATTTTCATATTGAAATTTATAGTTCAGGGTTTTCCCTCCTTTATCATCATGGACCGAGATCAATTGTTTGTTGGCCAATTTTAGGATGAATTGTGATAGTAACCAAATTGAAAAATAAGAACTGAGCCTATTATTTATAGGGAAGTAGTCACTGTTACCAAGTCCAGAGGATTGATCTTCTGTTGCTGTATTGAAAACACAAACTATATGAAGACCAAAATCTTGAGTGGGAACCATGCTCCTTTCAACAAAAAATGGTAGAAATAAGTAGAGAAAGAACCCTTGCACTGAGAAAGGACTGATTACTACTCTCAACTATTCCTCAATGATCTTTGCAAATGCTCCCATACCTTCCAATATCCCACCTCCTTCTATATAGAATTGTTTCTGTCTCTTCACTCATCAATTGCCTGTTGTCCTCTGTTATGCCCATCCTACCCTTACCACTTCTCTTTATTTGCTTGCTCCTAACTGTGGCCCAGTATCCCCAACAACGTGTTACCTATCAAATTGTTCAAACAAGCTGTCTCAAGGCTGAAATAAAGTACCACATGGGCACATACCATCCGTAAATGGATGGGTATCAAACTAAGGTCATTAACAGATGTTTGGAAACTTATGTTTTTTTAGGTTCCAATCCCAAGTAGTAACCCTTTTGGTTTGGGTGGGCAGAGTTTTGGTTTAATACCAATTACAATAATTCAGCAAAGATGACACTCTTTTAGGCCTTGTATGGTCGTGGTCCTCCTCTTCTTTTAAGGTAATATATCTTTGTTGAAAAGGGTGTTAACAAAGGACTGAGATGATAAACTTCAGCAGTTTAAGCTGAACTAGGAGCCCAGCAGCATGTGAAATCACAAGCTGTTAAGAGTAGAGATGTGGAATTTCAAGGCGATCGGGTGGTGTATTTGAAGTTTTGGCTTATAGGTAAGATAGAAAAAGAAATTGGAAATAGACTACAAAATCTTTTGCATCTACCATCTCCCTAGCAGAGTCCATCCTGTGTTCCATGTGTCCCTCTTGAAAAAAATCATTTGTGGCTCAACATGACTCTAACCACTGTCAGCAGACTTGACCAAATATTTTGGGAGTAACGAACTCAACCACAAGAGGTACTGGATCCAAGGTAAGATAGTGAAGGGTGATCAAAGTGGCATGGCTTGCCAGGTTGTGAAAATTCATGCTAGCAACTCAGTTCTATACAGTAGAGTTTTCCCAATTTTCAACTTGGGAGTATTGATAGCAGACCCTATTTAAAAGTATTTATGACAAGAGAAGTGGGTACATGCCAGCTAACGATGAGGCCAAATAAACAGAATTGTGTTCATTAGTAAACTTAGAAATTTGTTATAGATTGTTAGAAAAGAGTTGTGGGCTATATTATATCAGACCTAGCTGGTAGTGAATAAGGTTTTTGGTGTGGAGTTAGTCTGGATTGTTGGGAAGGAGCATAACCTCTGGAACTGTTCTGGAATATGGAGAATTGTGCTACATTGTAGTGCTATTCTAAATAAAATTCTTTTCTTAAATAAACCCAAATCTTTTTGAACCAGTTGTCTTGATGTCTTTATTTCATTCAAAAGTTTGGTTAGGTGGATGGGATAAGGTTTGGTCTCCTTTGGGCTGCAAATTTCTATATTTGTTTAGTCAAATAATGCTTCTAAATAAAATTCCTATGAATGCAATTTTGGAAAGCATGTGATATCAAAATAGAAATCCCCACTCAGCACTAGCAAATTCCAAAGTGGTTATGAGAAAGTTTAAGATTTGAATCCCAAATCATCTCATATTAAATAATGGTATGGCACTCGTAGCTACTGACAAAACTGAACAATGGGTGAACGATAATGACTTTAAATAAATAGCAACAGTGTTGGTGATTCAAGAAGCCAGTGTCTGTGCTGACTTCAGTAAAAAATGATTACTCCAATTTCACACATTGAAGACGATACTTGAAAATTTAATATTTTTTGCTTTTTACCTCTATCTTTGCCAATTGGTGTTTTTTACCTCTTTAAACTTGACATGCATTGTAATCCGTCTCTTCTCTACTTTCCCTAAGCTGTATATGTTTGTTTGCTTTGGTATGATACAGCTGGATGGTCTTATGTATTGATATTGGAAACCATTTTCAGTTTTTTATATTTGCAAGCAATCTATTCCTAAACCCGAGTTAGTAATCCAAAATAGCTCAAGATTGTGGTTGATCGTAGAAATTTTGAATATCAGGAATTTTTAAAAAGTAAATAAAAATCAAATGAATAATAATAATAATAATTATCATTATTATTATTTAATGCAGATGTCTTTAGCTATTAAGAAGATTTTGTATGCTGCTGATGCAAAAGGATCAGCGTTAGATGAAGCTCAGGAATACCTTAATGAAGTCATTAATAATGTTGAACCTGAAGAAGAAGCAGATGCAGAAGCAGAAACTGAAGCTTGATTACTCTTACAAATAGATCCTGGCTGGTATGCATAAGATCAAGATATTTGCCTGGTCCTTGTTAAACAAGCATAGTGCCATCTGTGATGACTAAGACTGGTAATCCTTCCCCATGCCATGGCCATGAATTGCCATAATGACATAGTTTTAGTTGAATGGTCCTTTTGTTTTATTCTTGTAAGCCTGGATGGATAATCAGTTACTCTGGTTAATGATTCCAATAAATAAAGATCATCTATTCAAAAGGAAGGAACTTTTCTAATGATATTTGTTTTGAAATGGATGTGTTGAACCCTTGATATTTGTTGGAACCTCTCTTCTGTATGAAGTTATCTGCCATGGCTTCAGGATAGTGCCTAAAATATTTCTGATTCAAAATGACTCTATTGCTTTGGTTTGTCCAATTTCTGATTCAGTTTTTGTATGCATGTGATGATGCATATTATTCAATTAATGTGAAAGACGATTTTTTTTTTTCTTTTTCAAATTTAACTAATCAAATATGCTACAGAACATTTAACAGCCATTAATGCCAACAAAGGCACAAATAACTTATCCTATCTGTTATGATGTATTTTACTATATTTCTATAATTATGAATGAAATGGATTCACTTTGCCTTTAAAAGGAATGGCAAATGCTTGAAATTGCATTTGTGCCACTTGAGACGGTCAACGTGATTGATTTTTATGAAAAAGTTGGCAGGATTGAGGATGCTCTCTAAAAATTGAAATCAAAATACAATTTTATCATAATAGTTAAGATTCAACAATTCACACCAATATTTATTAATGATAATAAGTTTACATTTGGAATAAAGAAAAATGATATTTTAGTTCGATTTTATTTTTTGAGGAAAAAAACCAAAGTGATGTATTATAAACTTTCATTGATCTGCTGTCAATTTTTTATACCAGTTTTTGAATTCTTTGACAAATTCCCTGGAAGCGTTATGTGGTTTATTTGAACCGGTTAAGTGACCACTTAACTGAGCTTTTGGTCCGATTGATCAATTTGATCCAATTTTCAAGACAAAAAATGAGTATATGCATTGATAATATAAAGAATTATGATATTTCCATTTAATTACAAAATTAGACAATTTTAAAATCAAACTCTAAAATATCAATCCCACTTCTACCCATTTCATTGCGATTTGGGATGGATGGGTTATTTCAGTCATTTTTTTGCCACAGTGGAATTTAACCATTTTTTCTTTAAATTTCCTTGTTGATTTTCAAGTTCAATGGGCAAAAATGGACCTCTGCTGCAACACAGTATTTTAAATTTCAAACTTAATAGCTAAAAGGCTCCGTCAACAAATTATATTATTTACATATTTTAATGTAATAACAAACAAATACCATATTTGGACTCATCAGTCTTTTAACAATTGTTTTCTATTTTAGCTCAATTTTAAAATGAATCACGATTCATTAATTTGGATCATCTTAAATTTTAATTGTAGTAGTCCGATTCTTGAATTACAGGTATTACAATTTTTTTAGTGTTAACTTTGGAAGGATCGGTTTCCGATGAGTTTAAAAATTCATAACCAATCCATCGATACAATCCAAACTCGGTAGGGAGTAGGTGACAACAAAAAAAAGAGTCAACAAACTAATTTGTATAGTACATCTGTTGTCCATATTCTATAATTCTATATACCATAGTTGTATAGCCACGACACAAAACATAGATACAAGCTAATAGCAACGGATTTCATTCAATAGCTTCCATTTGCATGCCCTCTACTTTTCCTAGATTTACCAGCCTGCGGTGATTGGCACCATTAGCACAAAAGGTCAGATACAAAAGATAGCATAATTATGTGATAACCAAATTTTACACATGAAAATACCTTGTTAATCATATTCTCAAATGCTTCAGTTCCATGCTCCTCAATGTACTTCTCCGCGGCTGTGAGAATGTCCTCTGGCTTACCTAAGGAGTCCTTTTTGCTAGGGACATACCAGATGTTAACGTTCTGAGGGTTGACAAAGAAAGGTCTAACATAGTGCTCATAAACATAGGCTGCGCCGCTGAAGTAAGGAATGACCAACCAGCAAGTAAGGATCAGCTTTGCATATGGCCAGATTGGAAGCCTGTAATAGATTGAGATAAGTAGGAATTGAACACAATACCGAGAAGTTACAACCACTCATGCACATTGTTCAACCAACTGAACTAAACTCGCTTGATAATAGCTTGAGAGTTTAACCACAAGCAGTCTAGTATTTGCCCCGGCCTAATTATCTCTACATATATTCAGGACAATATAAATACAATAGCAATGCTGATCTCATCAAATATGTGGGTCTCATTTCCCATTTGATGCTATCAAACTCTTTTAACACTTTTTGATGAAATTCATGACTATGTGTGTTTGTTTTGTCGTTAAAAATTTGTAAACTTACGTTGAACGGAAAAGAGAGAAAAACTTATTTTGTATTTTGATGCTTTGGAAAGAGT